CGATCCTCTTATATATATATATATTTGGTGAAGGAGTTGCTTTTGACTCCTTACATGTTAGAGTAATATGCTAGTGCAGACAACAGAGAGGAAACTGGGGACACATTTTTGGTTCAATACAAGAACCCAAGAGCTCCCCCAAAAACCATGAAACACCTCCCAAAAGGAGGAAAATACAATGACTCAACAAAGGAAGAAAAGAAATGTAAAATTGCATCTACACCAAAGGTAGTCATGTGTCCAGATATGCAATTCTGAAGTAGGGAACTCCCAGGATATCTCCTTGCAGCAGATAATGGAGAGCTGGTGGGGGGGTTGACAGCAACCTCAGTCTTTTTAGAATGTGACCCAAGCTGGGCCAACCAATTTGCAGGCTGATTTCCTTCCCTATAGATGAAAGTGAACTGGATTTGTAATTTAATACTGAGATCTCTGATTTTATTTATCCAATATGAGTGATGCCAGGGAGATCCCTCCTCATGATTTAGAAGGTAAATAATTACAGCAGAATCCACTTCCAACCAAAGCTTATTCCAATTAGCCTTAGTGGCAAGGTTAATTGCCCAATATATATATACATAGATATATATATGTATGTGTGTGTGTATGAATGTATGTAAAACTTAGGATGAAAACTAAATCAAGCTTTAACTGAGCATTTTGCTTTATGCATTTACTTTCTTACATGACATTCAAACCGGATTTAAAATGATTCCATATGCATGGTATCACAGTCATAATATTAATAGGGCCTCTACATTAAGGTTAAATTAGACAACTAAACCATTCTACATATTTCGAGGAGGAGCCCTTGTGCTCTTTCAACCCGACAGACCAAGCTAGGTTTTTTATCTAAGTGGTTTTCCAGTACGACTAGGGTGTTCGAGGCTCCCCTGACCTAGACGAGGTGTAAGTTCTCTGTGAAGTGGGTTTGGCTTTGTAGCCAAACCCCTCTTCTCTCTTCATTCTGGAGGCATCATTATCATCTTCTTAGTAGGCATGAGTCCCATTTCTATGAATTCCACTCGTTAGAGGGTAATAGAATTTTAGACATTTTTTTCCTTTGACTTCAGGGCTACCGAGGTTCCTTGGACGATGCAACACATGAGTTGTTGAAAAGGGATCTCAGAATGGGCTAAGTCAACCGCCTTTACGACTAGATTGGCCTAAGTCATAATAGCTTGGAAAGATGGATCCATGTAATCCCGAACTGACTATCTTTACGCGTCTAGGAGTTCTTTACCATTTTATTGGTAAACCTCCCTTTATGCCTAGTCTTACATATAACATACTAGTGATGCATTTAGCAGGCCCCATTTTGCTGACAACTCATTGCCTGTTTGGAATATAGTAATTCACCCTCTATGCTTATGACCCAATACAACCTCAAAGCAGTAGAATGATCCTATTTGATTACCCGAGTACCTCGTAGGCCCCATTTTTTTATTAGTCGCAATCATCTAAGATGTGAGAGGGTCACTCCTTGCCCTCACGACTCCGTATAGGCTTTGAAACATTAAGATGTTCCTACTTGAGATATCTTATTTTTTGAATGTATCATTTTCACTAGTTATCAAAAAGCAATCATTTGAGATGTGAGAGGGTTACTCTTTGCCCTCACGACTATGTATAAGCTTTGAAACACAAAGATTTTCCTACTTGGGATGTCTTATTTTTTTAATATATCATTTTCACTAGTTATATAAAAGCATAGAAAAGACTCCTAATTACTAAGAGTATGCTCGAGTAACCCCAATATGTAATTAACCAAAGGGATAAATTTCTTTAGGAATTACTCTTCACCCAGAACAAAAGAATAAAATTTTTTTCTCTAGTTATATTGGTTGATTATGTATTGATTTTCTTCGTGGATAATATGTTTTAAGGTGTCACGATTCAATCTCGTTTTGTACATATACTCTTAACCTATTACACAAAGATTACCTCACATAAACTCTCCTTATTTGTTTTTAATTTTTTTTTTTTGTCTAATTTTGTCGCATGTTCTCCTCCTCCAATCTTTCATCTTTTCTGATTCATTACAACGATTCAGGAAACCGCTATATGAAAAAGAAAATTATACGAAAACATAAAAAAACTGACAATACCCTATTTAAAAATAATCGAAAACAAGACCTAAGTCTCTCATCATGACATAATCCACGAACACTCCAAGTGAACCTTCTATCAAAGGATAAGCTATCTGTCGGATTACGATGATCCACCCTCTGCCCGACAGCCTAATCTCATCCAGACAACAGAAGCTTCGCACCCAGGGGTCGACAGTCGACTGTCAGACTAAAATGGTCGACCAACTGACAAAGCCAACTGAGAAGATCCATGCAATCTAAAGACAACCAAAGACAACGGGCTACCCTAACTCAGCACGGTCGGTCGAACAAGCCTTGCTGATCAAGGGACCACCAACCTCAACTGGCCGACTAATAGAGTAGTCGAGTCATAGACTCTTTATTTTTTTATACCTATCATACATTGCAACATCCCCATAAAAGCAAGGGCAAGCATGCAATTATATATTTCATACCCCCTCCATCTATAAATACAAGGCCATTTCTACATTAAAAGGAAAAACCTTAACTCTTCAAACAAGCCACCCGGGTTTGCAAATGCCCGTTCTTGGATCAATCTTGTGGTCTCCATTTGAGTATTTTATCTTTTTAAAAAATAAACTGTAGAAGAAAATTTAGCCAAATATCCTCTTAAATGAAGTTGGAAGCCAGCGAAAGCAACTTGTGATAGTAATCCGTTATCCATTAAACAAAGAACAAAATACCAATAACACACCACAAACAAAGTTTAATTGCAAGTTGCATCCACTCTTCTGCATCTATCCACCTCCATGTTAACCCCATACATTTCCGCTTAACCTGTTCACAAGATTATAAAAATATATAGTGGCTCATCTGCAAACTGCTGAAGCTTTACCCGAGGTCTGGAACCGTAAAGAAATCATCATCTTCCAGCATCCCAATTCGAGGATTCCTATATGGGAGGCTTGCCTTGGGAAGTCTATAGAAAGCCTCATTGCTCGGTTGCTTGAAAAGCATTTCTGGGACTTCAGCTAGAGTAACTGATCCCTCTGATGCTCCTTCAGGAGAGAAGCTAATGTCTGCAAACCATGGCAGCTCTCCAAATCCAACTGAAGACTCCTTCTGTAGTGAAAGAGATTAATAACATCCAAACCTTCAGCAATGTTGGGGCTAAAATAAATAAGAGAAAGAAATAGGAATATTGTACCTTGTACCCAGACTCATAGTCAGGTAAGTGAAGAAAATCATCGACAGCCCAAGCGGAAGAAGAGGATACAGAAGGGGGTTGCTTCTTTGTGGCGATTTTCTTACAGGTTTGAGCCATGGAATGGCAATTTGGAGGCTCAGATTGATGCTTGCTAGAGCCCATGTTTTGTATCGAGGTCAAGCCAACACGAATTCCGGTGGCCAGGAGGCGTTGGTGATTGGCTGAGAGAGTGCCGGCAAGGTGGATTGCCTCATCACAATCCTCGCAGAAAAGTGCTCTATCCTCCACACAAAAAATGAAAGCTGCCTTGTCCTGAAATGCAGCCAAAAACAAGTTTGGATGTCTCTGAATAATAGAAAGCATAAAAGAAAACCCTTTACGGTAACAACTTCTAAAACTGAACTATACAAATAAGATTGAGATTAAACGAAAGACAAGTTATCTAAAGCACTTAACTCAGCAGTTATCATGATTTCCATTCATCCATAGATGGAGGGGTTGGTTGAGGAGGGCAAAAAAGTATGAGGGCAAAAGATTACCATATTGCTACCTATTATATGACATTTAATTTCTAAATTTTGCAATATATCACACATTTAAACATAATCCAGTCCATTCTATAATTCTATATCTGAAAACATTTCATGGACTTGTAGCTTGCCGATGCAGCACCAAAATATCTTCTTAAAAAAAAATAAAATAAAATAAAAAAAGATTATTTAAAAAAAATATAGAAAATCAAATTCCTGAACCAAAGCACGGCCACTAATATAAAAATCATAACTAACAAGAAAAAAACCAAAATGGGTATATACACCCAAAAAAAAGTGACTTGTCAACAACAATTGGCTTGCCGAGTATCACAGCAATGCAGATCTGAAGTAGAAGATAGAAAATAAGTCAACGCATCCATGGCTGAAGTTATCAATAACTTCTTTTTTTTACCTGATTATTATCATATACCATAGTTATCAAGAAGGAAGCTCAAAATTTGTACAAACACTAAAAAACTAGCAGCCTAGCATCAGCAACAATATTTGTCTAGCCTTGGGTGCTGCTTCGTATCCAATTTTGACAGTAATTAGAAAAGATTTTGCTAAAATATTGCCAAAAAAATATTTGGAGAAGTTAAATCCTGCTTCAGCCAGGGTTAAATTAAGAATTTGTTAAATCAAGCCATTCTAATGATTGAAAGATCTCATAAATTTAAAGATTTCTTCCTTTAATAAAACTGAAATCATAAAACAAATAGCCTCAACAATTTCTAACAGCTATCAAGCCAAAGAGCTTTTAGTTTCAATCCTCATAAGATTTACTCAATCTAAATTTGCAGATTTTATAAATCCTGATTGAATTAAATCCTACTAATATCCAAACAACCCATGAAAAGAGTGTTGCAACAACTTCATATTTGATAATCAACAAAAGAAACTATGTCTAGTCAGAGATAAGGTTTTCATCTTAAGTAAATAGATATAAGAGTTATAATTTAATTAAATCCAGCCGGTAGCCAAACAAGTGCTGCATCAACTGCAGATCTGAACAAAGAACAGGATAATAAACCAAAGAAACCATGACTTCTCAGGAATAAAGTTTTCATCTTCAAGAAAAAGATACAAGCTACTAAAAACACTTTTTTTTAAATAACGATTAGTGTTAAAACCTGGCAAATATCGCATCGTGGGAGCTTGGAAGAGACGCAGTTGAGGGGGAGGCGACGGTGTTTTCCGGCAAGTTTGTTGGCTGCGTGGACTTCCACGTCACATTTGGTGCAGAGCGCAGCCTCGTCAGCGCAGCAGATCACTGCCGCCGCCGTTGTCTTGCACACATCGCAGGCAATCCTCATATCCCACACGCCCGATCCTCTTCTATACGAGATAGATAACCTGAAGGATTTCACGAAGAAAAAGAGCACCTTTGGCAACCAAAGGGGATGACTTTGGTTTGGCTTGTAGTTTGGAGAGAAGGACGATATTTTCAAGAATGAATACAAGAAGATGTGTTGGTTGGAGCAGATGGAGAGAGTTCAGAGAAAATTAATGTAGATTCCCTTAGCTCTCTCCGGGTGGCAGGACATGTGGCTGCTAGAGCTTCAGGTTTTGTTCGAGGCCGTCCTTATTAGACAATTTTGTTAAAGAATGCCTTACAAATACGACTGCAAAAAATCTAATCGAAGCAAGGGGAAAAAATATTTCGTTGGACTAATGAAATTTTATCACGTATGTTCACATATAAGACAGAGTTTCATCGAATCAAAAATAAAAAATATTTTATTTTAATGCCTAAGGAGACCTATTGCTTTGAAAACGTTTTATTTTTGTCATCATGCAATTCTGTTAACTAAGACCTATTGCTTTGAAAACGTTTTATTTTTGTCATGTTTTTTCACATGCAATTCTGGGGTTTTACATAGCTATGCAAAACATCTCTCTTGACTGGGAAATTTTGATGATAGATTTTGAATATAATGACGATAATTTTGAAACGGATGTGAGTTTAGTGTTATTGGCTGTTATTGCGGTGTCATTCTTGTTTTTTTTTTGTGTTATTGATGTGTTTTTGAAGCTGTGATTTTTTTATTTTTATTGAGTTGGTATTATAGTGTTGTTAAGATTTTGTTGTGGTTTTATTGTAGGCTTATTGTGATGTTATATTGATATTTTTGTGGAGTTATTGCAACATTATCTTGGTGTTATTCTGGTGTTTTCTGTGTTATTAAAGTTGTAAATTTTCAGTTTTGTTGATGTCAGATTGTGGTGTTATTATGGTTATTTTATGGTGTTATTGCAGTGTTATGCTAGTATTATTCTGGTGTTATTTTGTTGATATTGTGGTGTTATTAGAGCTATAATATTTCAGTTTTATTGAGGTGGGAATGTTATGTTATTCTAGTGTTATTGAATTGTTATTTTTGTGTTATTTTGTTGTTAATGGTGTGTTATTTAGGTGTTATTTGAGATGTAATGTTTCAATTTTTTTACGTGGGAATATGGTGTTATTGTGGTTTTTTTGTGGTATTATTTTAATTTCATTGCTATGTTATAAGAGCTGTAATGTTTCGTTTTTATTAGGGTGTTATTTTGGTGTTCTCAAGGTGATAACATTTGTAATGTTTCTATTTTATTGACGTGGGAATGCAATGTTATTGTGATGTTATTGGGGTATTATTTTAGTGTTATTCTTGTGTTATTGGTGTGTTACTTAAGTTTTATTAGAGATTTAATGTTTCAGTTTTGTTGAGTTGGGAATATGGTATTATTGCGGTTATTTTATGATGTTATTCTGATTTTATTGCGATATTATTGGAACTTTAATGTTTCGTTTTTATTGGTGTGTTATTTTGGTGTTATATTTGTGTTATTATGGTGTTATTCTGGTGTGTTATTGTTTTGTTAAGTTTCGATTTTATTGATGTGGGAAAGTGATGTTATTGTTGTGTTATTGAGATTGCATTTAAGTTATTATTAGGGGTGTTATTGTGGTTTTATTCTGGCATTGTTGTGGTGTTATTGAATTTATAAGTTTTCAGTTTTATTGAGGTTGGAATGTGGTGTTATTATTGTGCAAATGTGGTGTTATTTTGGTGTTATTCCTTTGTTCTTGTAGTTTCACTCTACTTTTTTGAGGAGTTATTCTTGTTTTTATTACAATGTTATTATGGTTATTTAGGTGTTATTATGGTGTTATTGCAGTGTTATCATCATATTTTGGTAGTGTTATTCGAGTGTTATTGTGATGTTATTGAGGTAATTATTTTGGTATTATTCTTTTTTTATTTTGGTGTCATTGTGAGATTATTAAAATGTTAGTGAAAAGTTTTGGTTTTATTGAGATTGTAGTATTCGATTGGAGTTATTTCCATACCTAATCATGTTTAAAATATTTTATAAATCTGTAGTTTAGGGAGCCTGAAAATGTTTACAGTGATCTAATTTTAGACAATTTTCTTCGCATTATTGTCCACAATGAGCAAGAAACATATGAACAATATTGTGCCTATGCACATCATATTGGATTTACAGTTTGAAATTGCTACAGTAGTATTTGGTTGAATTTAAAGAAAATTAAGACAAAAAACTTTATATGTGGAAAAGTTTGTTACAAGGAAGAGTCAAAGTTCAACATGATGAAGTTTAAAAAGGTGGACACAACAAATGGTTCTCCAACCATGATTCAATATGTTGTTGGCGTTGAAGGGAACTAGACGTTTAATAAATTCATAGAAAGTCATAACCATCCCTTGGTGAAGCCCGGTGATAAGCATCTTTTTCGTTCTAGCAGAAAAATAAGTGAAATCAACGCAGATGTGCTAAGATCGATGATAGAATCAGGGATTAGTGCTACGAATGCATTTAACTTCCTTGATACAGAAGTTGGGGGGAGTAGAGAACCTTGAATGTACTAATGGAGATGCCTTCAATTTCATTCAAAAGGAGAGAAGAGATAGAATTGAACATGGTTATGTTAATTCTCTATTACAATTATTTTTTAAGAGGAAAGCTAAGGATAGCATGTTCACGTGGTACTTCCAAATTGATGAATGTGGTAGATTGAGGAGCTTTTTTGGAGTGATGTCACATCCAGGCTTGATTATAACTGCTTTGGGGATGTCATTATTTTTTATACAAGGTATATACTGAATAAATATAATTTATGTTGTGTTTCGTTTGTTGTGGGTATTTTCTTTGGAGTTTTTTTTTTGTCAACTGAGAAGATTGATTTGTTTAAGTGGCTATTTATAACAATTATTCATATAATGGATGAAAACTATTCAATAAAGATATTTATTGATCAGGATCAAACAATGGCAAGAGCTATTTAAGATTCTCTACCACATACACAACATAGATTATGCCATTGGCATATCTATAAGAAATTTCCTTTGAAAGTACATTGTGTTATGGGTAGCAAGATAGTCAATGACCTTTTCATAAGTGCATGAGAAAATGTGACTCTAAGGGGAGTTTGAAGAAATTTGGGATGTAATGATTGAGGAAGGAAATCTACACGATAATGTTTGGTTAGATGATTTGTACAATATCAGAAATAAGTGGTCAACAACCTTCAATAAAAATATTTGAAATAAGAGTGTTATCGACAGAAAGAAGTGAATCCATAAATAATATCTGTCACGGTGTCTCCAAGCTAATAAGCTCCATTACTGATTATTTTGTGGGACTTGAAATGTCATGAAATCGTGGAGACGTAATAAGAAGCATGAAAATTGAAAATGTGCTCAATCTATAGTTGCACCCATTGTGAAAAGCATCACAGTGTTAAGGCAGGCAGCTTCATTTTATATTAGGAAGCTATACTCACTGTTCAAGGAAGAGTTATTACTTGGGTTATGTGGTTTTGCAGTGGAATTATCTACAAACAATGATTCATGATTTTACATTAAAAGTTTACATAATAAAGGGACAAACAAACATTTGATTTTTAAATTTGACAGGAGTAATTCTGAAATTACGTGCAATTACACAAAAATTGAAATGATTGGATTATTATGTGCTCAGTCCCTACGACTTTTTAGCTAAGAAAATGTAATAAAGATTTCCAATAAATATACTTATTGTAATGTTCTATTCATGCAAAAAAAGGCATCTATAACAACTATGAATATAAACATCTCAAAGAGACACAAATGTAGAATGGTTCTTGAAGTGGTCTCTTATTTTGCACACACGTTTAAAAGCTTGCATATCAAATTAATATTAAAGCATAAGGAAATGAACCGGCTGAGCAATGTGTGTTGTAATCATTGAAAAAGTTATCAGTCGATGTTGATGATATAATAAGTGGGAGAGTACCATAATAAAAGGAAAAACCAAATAAGAAAAAAATCTGAATAAGGAAGGCAATTTGAATGACCTAGCAAAGATGTGACCAAATATAATATCTAATTCTAGATTAAAAGAGTACTGGAGAAAAATAAGAGAGTAATAGTATATAATTCTATATTAAAAAATAGCTTCACTATATGTAACTTTACTTTTCTCTTACATGCACCATGGTATACAGAAAAGGAGAAAAAATCTTCATCAAGCCAAGAACCAGTTCTCCCATGCAACACAAATTTATTTGCAAAGTTGGATTTCTTAGTGCATATAACGGAAATTCAAAACCATTAGACTATTTTTTATTGTTACATCTTCCTAAATGTTCACTCCTAACTACCCCAAAATAGTAGGAATTGTTTACACCGCAACTCATAGAAACATATAGCAGCTTGATGGATTTCATTCCTGAGATATAATTCCTCACAAATTTTCAAATATATACTTATGTGGACAAATTTGTGTAAGAAATTCTTATAAATTTGTCAAAATTTTTTTAAGATAGATTGGAATCATTAATAAATAAATTGGAGATAAATTCAGTAAAATCAGTTTCATAGCATTGAGGTTGTATTATGGTATCATTTTAGTGTTATTGGACTAATTATTTTGGTGTTATTGTGCTATTACCATCCTTTTATTGTGGTTGTACTTCAGCGGTTGTGTCGGTGTTATTGGAGCTGTTATTTTGATGTTACTGGAATGGTTATTTTGGTTGTATTCAGTGTTATTGAGGTTTTAAATTTGTAGTTATTTTTGTGTTATTCTGGACATTATTTTGGTTGTATTTCTGTGTTATTATGGTGTTTGTTAAGGTATTACCTTGGTGTTTTTGTGTGGAAGTGTTATTGGCTATTGTTGGTTATTTTTGTGTTATTCTGGACATTATTTTGGTTGCATTTCTGTGTTATTATGGTGTTCGTTAAGGTATTACCTTGGTGTTATTGTGTGGAAGTGTTATTGGCTATTGTTAATTCTATTGCAATGTTAATCTTTTATTGGTGTGTTATTATTGTGTTATTCAAGTGACATTGATGTACTATCGGAGTGTTACTTATGTGTTATTGGAGTAGTTTTGCAGTATTATTGGAGTGGTGCAACGGTGTTATTAGCGTGATTTTATGGTAGCTACTGCGGAGTTATTGAGGTGACATTGATGTATTATTGGAGTGTTACTTAGGTGTTAGTGTTGTATTATCGAAGTGATGTCGTAGTGTTATTGCAGTTTTTTTGTGGTGTTATTGGCGTGATTTTGAAGTGGAT